TTATATTCATTTATACTATTTATTTTTATGTAATTTTCTACTTGAATTTGTTTAAGTTTGTCTAAAAATATAAAAATATGAGGATGACTAGAATTAAAACTTTTATTAAAATTGGAATGAAACGACTCACAAGCATTAGTCGTTCTGTTCAAATTTGCTGTAGAAGCAGCCCATATATTTGGAGGAAAAGCAGCGTCATTACTTACATAGTTATTTAATAAATAATCAGAAAATTGTTTTAATCTATGATCATTTGGCTTAGAACTCATTAAAAATACATCAAAGTAATCAAAAACCATCTCGGGCTCTAAAAAAACTAATCCAAAACATTTAACTATCCAATTTCTAATAGTCGAGGCTTCGGTTTTATATTCTACACTTAATCCTATTGTTTGAACATACCTATACCACGATTGTAATAAATGAAAACGACAACCATAAATTTGAATATTCGGCCAGATGGATTTACATGCGTTGTGTATAGCTTTTTCGAAGTCAATAACAACATACTTTGGCTCAAATAAGTAATTATCATGAATACAAAGATCAACTATTAATTTAAAACATTGCAAATAAATATTTTGAGTTTTTGCTTTTAATAAGCAAAACACTAAAGGTATATAATGACCATTAAAATAGCCATGTATAGTAAATAGTTGCAAAAAAAATTTAGAACTATATTCAAATGTAACATCCATGTAAACCCATTCTGCTGTTGATAACATTTTTAGATTTGTTTTGCACCCAAAAATTATAATACAATTTACTTTGTCATTACTAAGAATAAAATTTTCATCTCGATTGGTTACCACCTGTATATTATCCAGCATATTTTGAACTTCTTCCCCAGATTTTGGTAAAGGAGGGAATTTCTTTCGCTTTGCATTGTAAAGATTTCGCTTGATATTATTCATGTCACTTACTTGCAACGCTTCAGATCGAGGAATGCTTTTAATAACAGTACACACTATTTTACTAGGTTTCTCATTACTATCTTCAACAGCTTTACGTTTTGCCGATACTGACACAATTTGCCGTTGTATATTTTGATCACTAAAAACACAATTATAATTTCAGGTTTTAAAAAATTATTAATTTTAAAATATATTATTTAATTAAGTTGTATATTATGTATAATATTGTACTTGCCTATTTGCACTATGTTTATAATGATCAACATTTTGTTCAGCGATGTTCGTAGTTTCACCTAAGGTTTTCACAAAAGCTTTGCAAGTTTTGATTATACATCGCCATTTTGTTAATCCAGAAGCCAAAGGTCTATTTACTTTAGAAAATTTAAAATTGTCTAATACTAAAAGTATATTTCCACGTTCTGATTCAATAAATTGAGCCATTATTAGTGATGGGCAAATTCCCGGGAATATAATAAGTTTTTTAATTATTGATCATACGTTTCAGTTTTAAATTGAACTTATGGTTGTAAATGATCCAAATGACAGCTCTTTATTGATATTATGTCAGTTTAGATATTTATTCTTTATAAAAAAGTTAGAAACTATAATTTAATTTTTTTTAAATCTGTACAATGATCACAAAATAAATGATTTAATTTTCATTTACCTATATATGTTGAAAAAATAATAATATACATACTGAAATTAAAATACTGAATAACTTTTACTTATCCATGTAATGAGCAACATATATTTATATATAACTATAGGTACTTCAGTCTCTTTATTAATAAAAAATAAAAGCAAAACTGTACTCTTAATTAATTCTTTTATAATAATAATGTATGTAATGAAACGCTATTGGTTGTTAATTAATTGTTTTATTAATATATATATTTTGAACCAATATGCTCATTATCTAATTTTGACATAATTAATATGTTTCGTATTACAATATTTTCTTTTTATATCAATTATTTGAGTTATACTCGTTAGAGTGTACAGAAAAAATATTTATTGGGGTTACATAAAGGGGTGGGAATGTGTTCGACATGGAACTCACGGTTGTGGTTTGGAAGTTTGAAGGATTCGACGGCTCGGCTCTAGTGGCGGCGGTGAATCTTCCTGGAAAAGTGTCGTACTCGCGGTGGCTCAGGCTCGACTGGTGACTCGGCTGGCGGCGGTAGGACTGTAGACGTTGACGGTAGATCTTCCCGGACAAAGGACGTATGCACGGCGGTGACTGGCGGCTCAACTCGAACGGTGGCGGCTCAGTACAGTAACACGTACACAATTTGTCTCACAACACACTCGGACGGTGGCGGATGACAGGGAATTTGCCGGGGAAGACCACGTGGATCGCCGTATTACGGGTTTACCGTCCGGCGTCCGAGTCTCGGGGCAGTGCTGGTAGTTAATACGAAAAACTGGTCCGTCTTACAATATTAGATATTGTCCGGTACCAAGTTTCTCGTATTACAGCGAGGAGAGGACTGTCGTAAATCGGTGGCCAGCGGCCTGTATTTCTGTGGTTCCATGGCGGCGGGTCCCGATGAGAATTATGATTGAACGTTTCTCTCTTTTTGATAGTTGCTGTTGATTGCTGATGTTCGTGTAAGGACATAACTTAAAGTATGGAAGGCGGTGATCATGAATATGTTTCTCCCGAACTTCTACCTTGCTTCTTTCGGGGTGGAAACTCAATTTTCCGAGCGGGCGGCGTACCGGTTTTCTAGGCGGTGCACGGCAGTGCTATCTGTTTTGCGTTTTATTCGCATAGGCTGTGTTGTACAATCGGCCGGCGGCGTGTTATTACTGCGTGAGCGCGCGGCGGTTACTGCATTCATTTGGGTGATGGGACACCACTAGAGTGCACCATGTGTTTGGTGACTCGGTTTTGTTCCATTACATGTACTACTATAGTAACAAATATTAAAAGTATAAAACTATGTAAATGGGAAATACTAAAATGAAATAACGATATTTCTATATAATATAATCAATTATAATCTAATATAATGCTTATCAATATTATATCAGTCAACAAAGGAGTTTAGCCAATTGATGTGAACAAAATATACTAGTTCTCCAACTCGATTTTTTCATTTTTTTTTTTCAAAATTCCCCAAGGAAATTTCCCGAGAGGTCGGGGAATATTTCGGGAATATTCCCTGTTCTCGGGAACATTCCTTGGGGAATATTCCCAACGGCACATCACTAGCCATTATAGTGTAGGTACTAGGTATAAGCGTATAAGACTCTAGGACGTGTACTGAACACAATTTATAATATTTCTATCTGAAATTTCCAATAATTATTACATCCAAAATATTGCAGTCAAAGCTGATAAGATATGACATGATTGAAGATTATCGTTTGAGATACGATTGTTCCGTGTTCGAACATTTTGTGACTTCCCGATACTATAAGTTATAACTCCGCGTCGACAGACAAAACACCCCTCGGTCAACATCAAAGACAATACAATGCACCAACAATCGATGAAGTGGCGATCATTATAGTCGGAGAAGAATTCAACTCACGTGATATAATTCTACATCGCAGGGATGGAAACGTGCAAAGGGTCGCAGAAACACATCACTCATACGACGGATTGCAATATCCGTTTTTATTTTGGTGAGGTGAAGACGGGTATCATTTCAACATTAAATTGAGAAATCCGCAAACGGATGAGGAAACGAATAAGAAAGTCAGTGCCATGAAGTAATTCGTATCGCTTGATGATTCGTAAAGGCGCTGAAAATCATATCTTGAAATGTAGACAATTGTTTCATCAATATATTGTCGATATGTATGCTAAAATTGAAAAAGCGTTTACTCTACATTTGGTTGAATCAAACAACGCTGCGTTCTGAAGAATACATTCATTTACGTGATGCCATTGCTATTGATGGCAATGTGAATCCACATGATTTTGGGAAAATGGTCATTCTTCCGGCCACATTCACGGGGAGCCCAAGGCACATGCATGAATACGCACAAGATGCAATGACATATGTTCGCGCTTATGGCCGTCCAGATCTGTTAATTACATTCACATGTAATAATACATGGGACGAGATAAAAGTACTATTGTTACCTGCCCAATCATCTTCGGATCGTCATGATATTACCGCCCGAGTGTTCAAACAAAAGTTGAAATCTTTTATGAATTTCATTGTTAAGCATCAGGTTTTTGGAGAGACATGCTGTTGGATGTATTCCATCGAATGGCAAAAACGAGGATTGCCACATGCACACATTTTAATCTGGATGATCACAAAATTCACACCAGATATAATTGATCAGCTTATTTCAGCAGAATTACCCGATGTTGACAGAGATCCAGTTTTATTAGAGGTCGTCACAAAAAACATGATTTATGGTCCCTGTGGTGCACTTCACAATAACTCACCATGCATGTCTGATGGGAAATGCACTAAACGATACCCAAGAGCTTTGGTTAGTGAGACTATCACCGGAAATGACGGCTATCCACTCTATCGTCGACGATCAACCAAGGATGGCGGCAAATCCATCACTTTAAAAGTACGGAATATTGATGTCGAAGTTGATAATCGTTGGGTTGTACCGTATTCACCATTACTCTCAAAGCTGTTCAAAGCACACATCAATGTTGAGTATTGCAATTCTGTGAAATCGATCAAGTACATTTGCAAATATGTCAACAAAGGGAGCGATATGGCAGTGTTTGATGTGGAAAATATAACTGGTTCTATCGATGAAATCAATCAATATCAACTCGGCCGCTACATCAGTAGTAATGAAGCAATTTTGCGCATTTTATCTTTTCAAATCCATGATCGACATCCAACAGTGGTTCATTTGGCAGTGCATCTTGAAAATGGCCAGCGTGTGTACTTCACGGCCGGAAATATACGTGCAAGAGCATTGTCCCCGCCTTCAACCACGTGAACTGCATTTTTTTCTTTGTGCAACCAAGATACGTTTGCAAAGACGCTACTTTATTCTGAAGTGCCAACTTGTTACAGATGGAATGCTTCAGTAAAACTGTTTAAACGTCGCATACAAGGCAAAGCAGTTGAGGGGCACCCAAGTTTATATATGATCGATGCGTTAGGCCGTTTATACACAGTTCATCCAAACAATTTGGAATGCTTTTACTTGCGGTTACTGTTACTCAATGTACGTGGACCGACATCCTTCGAAGAATTGAGAACAGTGGACGGCCAGGTTTGTGCCACGTATCGTGCAGCTTGCCAAGAGTTAAATCTTCTTGAAAACGATGCCCATTGGGATATTTCACTCGCTGATGGTTCGAATATTGCTCAACCACAGCAAATACGCACTTTATTTGCGATAATCTTGACAACGTGCTTCCCATCAAATCCAAAAGACCTTTGGGAAAAATACAGAGACTACATGAGCGAAGACTTTTTACATCGATTGCGTACATCAAATCAAATTCCAGACATTCAATTTTGACCCATTGTGTATAATGAGGCATTGGTTGAGATTGAGGACATGTGTTTGGAAATCGTTAACAAAGCACTGGTACAACTGGGACTGCTATCGCCGAATCGAGCCATCAACAGCCGTTTTGATCGAGATTTGCAACGAGAAACACAGTTTGACGACGCCGAATTGGGTAAATATGTGCAAACGAATCTTCCAAAATTGGTTACAGAACAACGCATAACATACGACGGAGTTATGCGTGCAATCACAAGTAAAAGCGGTGGATTGTATTTCCTGGATGCTCCCGGAGGCACGGGCAAGACCTTCCTAATCTCAATAATTTTGGCAGCGATACGCTACCAAAAAGATACTGCACTGGCAATGGCATCTTCAGGAATTGCAGCAACTCTGAAATGGCCGTTGAACATACAATTCATGGAAAGACCAACGTGCAATATCACTAAAAATTCGGGAATAGGGAAAGTTCTCCAATCATGTACGATCATTGTGTGGGACGAATGTACAATGGCGCACAAAAAATTATTGGAAGCACTTGATCGCACACTAAGAGATTTAAGAGGAAAACCCGAGCTATTATTCGGTGGTGCACTAATTTTGCTGTCTGGTGATTTTCGGCAAACTCTACCAGTAATACCACGTTCAACACCAGCTGATGAGCTCAATGCATGTCTCAAATCATCTGGTTTATGGCAGCACGTGCATAAATTGAGCTTGAAGACTAATATTCGTGTACAACTACAAAATGAGGCATCGGCTGATCTGTTCGCAAAACAATTGTTGGATATGGGTAATGGGAAAATGGCCATCGATCAATTAACACAATGCATCACATTGCCGGACGATTTCTGTAGGATCACGGCTACCTCGGATGAGTTAATTGCCAAAGTCTTCCCGAATCTGCCACAAAATTACAGAAATCTTCAGTGGCTCTGTGCCCGGGCCATTTTAGAGGCCAACAACAACGATGTGAATGCAATCAATTTCAGAATTCAAAACAAAATTCCAGGCGATTTGACACCTTACAAGTCTATACACTATTCCATCATACACCAAAAAGAACACTGAACAGAATGATTAGAATGAACAAATAATGATTAATTATTATCATGTTTTCAAAATATAGATTTTGTTCCACGGAAGACGGTCGAAAATAACAATACGAAGGCGATGAGACCGACACAATCTTGTAAATCGTAATGAAAATAGAATTCGGGCACAATCGGGTTGTGCCCGGTGTTACGTCCCAACTGAGGTCGATATATCCATCAACGCAGGAATGAAATACTGATGTACTTGGTTATGATGAGTGTTTACTTAAGTTCAAAATTACAATGTATATAAGCTATGGTGGAGATGTGAGCGGTGTTATGACCTGACTCCAAATGTCTTGAGTATCCCTAACCGTCTGCCGATCTCTTGTCCCGGGCTGGTATTTATATGATCGAGTCCTTTGGAGTGGGTGGTTGTATCAATGGCCAAATTCGGTCATGAGACTGCGTCCGGGTCTCGTACTTGGTATGCTGGTTGACTCGTATCCTTCGTATGAATGTTTTACTTCCCTAGAGAGATACTTTTACAGTGTCCCTGGCGTGTTATAATATACTAATTGCCTTATTAATTATATCGTCGAGTACTATTGGAAACCTGTGCTACGTCGTACATTGTTATTACTTAATTACTAAATACGTAACACTGGCAATGCCGTATTAATTCGTGTCGAAAAGTGGGGGAAATGTAGTAGTTGTGCAAGCCGCCCAATGCGTAGTATGCACGTATCGTATCTAGGAGCACCCGATAACCCGTATTTGAAAAAATATTTTTTTCTATAATATTCGATAAATATACCAACTACCAAGTACCAACTTTTATTATGATGGAAGAAATACATATCCAATTTTAATTTTAATCATTTACTATAAATTTTTCTTCTCAATTTTTTAGGTGGGGCACGTGCCCGTGTGCCCTATAGCACGAGCCGCCAATGATTATATACATTATACATAAATAATTAAGATTTATATTTTAAAACATTATTATTATATTATAAAATAATTAAAATATTAATAAACAACAATCAAAGAATTAGTTACAAACGGGAACACGGAAACCAAAACCAATTTTACGATTTCGATTTCGTTTCTTAAAACCAGGTTTTCTATACAAACGGTTTTTCTAACCAGTTTTATTATAAGTCTTAGGTTTTGGGTAACCACTCATATGCAGGTGTGTTAAAGATAAAAAAAACTTTTGTTTCGAGTAGGAAAAAGTTGAAAATTCCGATGAAGGTGGGCGGGGGACACGGGAAAATTGATTTTCCGATTACAACTCGGGAGGGGGTCACATACAAATTCCAAAAATGGTCACACAAATTCATACAAATTGGGTTCTTGAATCTTGCAGTATAAAATATACGAATACTAAATTATTTGTATTACGGGGGCTGGAGACATATATCTACAGCCCCACCTTCTGTATTTCCGATATTGTTCGAATACTGGTGTCGTACAAATTCTAATAACCATCAAACAAATTCATACAAATGACGTACAAAATATTTGGATAGAAATTTTCTTTGGATGGAGGATTGGGGACTAGTACGTAGGTTTTTATTTATTAGATAGGTATGATAACTGTAATACATATATAATATGTGTTACATAATAATATTGCTTTATATTATTTACATAATTCTTTTATGAACGTATATTTTTAAATTAAGGTACTTTTAAAAGCAGATGCATATCCCGTATTTGAATTTGAAGGATTGAGTTATAATATTCATGATACTTTTGGTGCAATTGTCGATGAAGGCAATACATATACATACAATCATTTATCTTCCAAATCAAACAGTATTGTCAAAAAACTAGATATTAGTGATGATCATTAGTAATCTGTGATACTACACCAAAATCAGTATTTAAATAAATTATTTTAAGTAAATTCCCTACTTTGAAAGAAACAAGCAAATGCTCAAATTAAAAACGTGAGAAATATCAAGAGAAGTGTCAAGATCATTGTTTTGTTACATTTCCTACTACAAGTGGACAAGTTGATGATCTTCAAGAACTTGTAAGTAATCGAATGAAGACTGAAGAGTTTATATGTAACCACCAAATTAATTAGCCGGAAAATATGCCATGCACATGCTTGCGAAGAACAAGTTATGAAGTACCACCACTTCATGTGTTAATTGAAATTTTATATTGGAAAGGTAAACGAAAATCATCAATAAAATAATAAAATAAATATTTATGATTTTGAGTCTATTACAGGTGAAAACATGCAGCAAAGTAGTGAGGTAGCACCCCACATAAATGTAAAATTATGTGATATCCCTGAAGTCATAATTCATAACGATACATCTTATGACCTAAGGGGAGTATTAAATTATAGACCAGGAAAAAGTTTTCTTAGAAGCTCCATTATAGGACATTACACAACATATACCAGAAGAAGGGGAGGTAATTGGGAACTTTACGACTATTTAAAGAAAGGTTTGTGTTTATTTGGTGTTTTGTATCCAAATGTGTTGTTATATTCCAGAAATCAGTTGGTTCTTTTGTTGCCCTTTTGGCTATTTCGTCTACAATTTCATTACCAGGTATATTGTTGTGTCCGGGTACCCATAGGAATCTGATGTCTTTTTTGGATATAAATAGAATGTTCAATATTAGGGTGCATATAGGGTTGTTTTTTTGGGGATTTGCTAAGTTTGAGAGGGTGCTGAGAGAATCTGTGTATATGATTGTAGATTGGATATCTGAGGAGGCAGCCAATTCTGTGGCTTTTAAAAGAGCTAGATATTCTGCTGTATAAATTGAGTTAAATGATGGGATCTGAAATGCTGTTTGGGAGTATGGCTGGATTATTGCGATTGCAGTTCCTTCTGTGTTTTTGGACGCATCAACATATATTTCATGATGTGGTGGAAGGCTGTTTTTTAGATCGAAGAAGTTTGGTTTGTAAATGTTGGAATCGGTTTCTTTTTTTTTTTGTATGCAGTTAAGTTGAAATATATGAGAATATTTGAAGTTATCGACGGGGGCTGTTCAGAGACATGAAGGTTAAGTTGGTTTGTAAAAATAATATTGAGGTCTGAGGCATAGGTGGCTGTACGAGTGCCAAGATTGTTATTTTGGTATTAGTTGATTGAGTTTCTTAATATTGCACTGATTGGATTTTTTGTTGCTATTATTTTTCTTGAAGAGTTTTCCAATGTATGTTTTATTTTTATTTTTTCGAGTGATTTTGAGCCTGTGATGTTTATAATGCTGAGAACAGGGCTGCTTTTGAAAGCACCAATTGACAATCTTGGGGCTATATTGTGAATAGGATCTAATGTTTTGATTGAAACAGCAGATGCTCCTGCATATAGTATAGAGCCATATTCTAGTGCTGAGAGGATTATTGAGTTGTGTATTCTCTGTAATGTTTTGCTTTCTGCTCTCCATTCGAGGTTACTTAGAGTTTTAATAATATTGAGTTTAGTTTTAGCTTCATTTTTTATTTTGGTTATGTGTGTTCGCCATGCTAGTTTTGAATCAAAAGTTAAGCCCAGTATTTTTATATTAAATACTCGAGGAATGTTCTTGTTTTCCATTTTAAGAGATGGGTTGTGGGGGATGTTTTTCTTTGAGAAAATAATGAATTGTGATTTGACTGGAGAGAAAGTAAAACCTGAGGTTTTACTCCATATTAGTAAGTTGTTTATACAGTTTTGTATTTGTTGAATTAATGTAAGTAGATTATTGCCCCTGCAAAATATATTACTATCATCTGCGTACATTGTGATTTTGTTTAGGGGTCTTATGATAGATGGGAGGTCATTGATAGCCATCAGAAAGAGAGTTGATCTTAGAGGAGAACCTTGAGGACTGCCATTTTCAAGAATGAATGGCGAAGATAATGTACCATTATTATATACTTGTATTATTCTATTCGAGAGGTAATTTATGATAAAGTTAATTATGTTACCCCTATTTCTCGCGGCAGTAATGCGCAAGCAATTCCCGCGACGTCGTCGGTTCAAAAACGAAAAAAAAAAAAAAAAATTATGTTACCCTTAAGATTCAACTGTTTCATATATTTAATAAGTCGGTGGCGCCATATAGTGTCGAAGGCTTTTTGTAAGTCAAGGCTGACTAATAGCAAGTATTGATTTTGATTGAAAGTTTCTTTAATTTCATTTTCAATAATTGCTAAGGAGTCCAAAGTAGAATTAATTTTGAGGAAACCATGTTGTAAATTAGAAATTAGATTATTAGTTTCTAGGTACCACATTAATCTTGAGTTAATAATTTTTTTCTAGTAGTTTTGACATGGAACATATAATGGATAATAGGATGGTAACTAAATACTTTTTTTTTTAGGTTTATTGGGTTTATGGATAGGTTTGATTATAGAGGTCAGCCATTTTGTTGGATACTGGATTTCTATCCAAATATGATTAAAAATCTTGAGTAGGTATAGTTTACCGTTTTTTGGAAGGTTAAGAAGAAAGATCGTGGGTATATTGTCAATTCCGCAAGTATTGTTTTTCTTGATTTCAAAAGGTTCTGAATAAATTGTGTCATTTTCGTTTTTGAGGATCTGTATATTGTCGTATGTTGATGCATTTAAAAGCCTTAATTGTATTCCATATTTGTTTTGGGTTTGCTTTAGAATTTATTGAACTCGTGTAGGCAAGCCAACTCATTGTTTTGCTGTCTTTAATTGTACGTCTGGCTTGAGATCTGCGTTTTTTGAATTCTATGAAATCAGCTTGGGATTTTGCGCTCTTAAATTTATTGAAGGCAGTCTTTTTTGATTTTATAGATTCAATACATCGAGAGTTCCACCAAGGAACTGGAGGATTGTTTCTTAACATATAGTTTGTCCTATTGTAAAGTTCGCTATTTCTAGTATAGCATTTGTGAAATTTTGTGTATCTTCATTTGAATTATTTATTTTCAGTTTTTCAAATTCAATTGAATTTATCTTTTGTTCTAGGGATGTGAAAAGATTCCAATCCGCCATGTTTAGTTTTCATTTTGGTTTGCCTACTTGAATGTCTTCTGTATTTCTGTACGTCAATTTCGTGTTTATGGGCAAGTGGTCGCTTCCATATGCATGAGATAAGGTGTCCCATGTAAGGTGAGGGGCAAAAGAAGTTGTTGTGAATGTCAAGTCAATAGCTGATTGTGTACCGGATGCTGTTCCAAAATGAGTGGGTTTACCGTTGTTCAATGTAATTAGGTTTTCAGAATCTATGACCGATTCGATTATTTCCCCTCTTGAATTTGTAGAAATGCAGCCCCATAATTGGTTATGACTGTTGAAGTCACCTAATAGAACGAACGCGGAGAGAGTTGTAGAATGATAATTTTTTAAGTCTGCTTCGGTGAAGAGTGATTGGTTATATAGGTAAATGTTGCAAATTGTAATCTTTTGTTTGAATTGAACAGATATGGTTACGGATTCAAGTGGAGTATTGACAGGTATTTCTTCGGAAGTATATGAGTATTTTATGAATATAGAGATACCTCCTCTAGCTCGGATTGCGTTAGCTCTTATTTTGGTATAATTTGTATATCCTTTTAGTGTTTTTTTTTTATAGCTTGTAAAATTTGTTTCCTGAAGACAAATGATTTCGGCGCAGTATTTGTTTATTATTATTTGTAATTCACTGATTCTTTTGTAGAAACCATTTAGGTTCCATTGTAGTATGTTATATTTTGTATTATTGTGCTGCATTTTAGGTTATATTTTTAGAATGTCGGTTCTACGGTTGTGTGATGGATTATTAGGTGTTATTATATTGTATTAGATTCTATTGGTACATCAACTTTTTCTCGTCCCAGTGATCTTTTTTTTCCTTTTTCTGGAATTTTTTCATTGATTTCTTCGTGTTCATAAATACTGTCCTGTATGTCTAGCCTTTCTTCAGAATCTACTACTGGAACATTAGACATAGTGCTAAAAACAAAATTATGTTATCTAAATATTATTATTTAAATTATAAACTATTTTTAAAAATAATTTACATATATTATGTTTTGTTTTATCATTAATATTTTATTTATTATCTGCATGTGTTACAGAACATTTTAAAGTGCAGTTAGGTGGTCCGCAATATATTGTGATCAAATTGATTACTAAAAAGTTTGTTTTTAAGACAATATTTTCATATTACATAATTTGGTCGTATAAATATATATTATATTATTACATAATTCTATTTATCACAAACAACGTAAAATTAATTTAATACCTAATTAAAGTTTTTCTTTTAAAAAATATTCATTTATTTATAGAAATACATACTTAGCGAAACTCAAAAGTGGTTTTAAAAACTCCAGATGATTTGCCCAGGCCCAATATTTGTATGTATCCAAGTGCTTTCCTTTTGTAGCACCTGCAGCTTGACCAGTAATTGTCTTATTTGCTCTTAAATGTTTTTGGTAATTATCTCTTAAAGTTTTCCACTTTGTTTTTAAAGTTTCTCTTAACACAACCATATAAATTAAAAAAAAAAATTAATAATCTTAAATACAATAAATATTTTACTTTTTATTATTTATCTATCTAATATTTAATTTTAAAATATATCTTATACAATTTTTAATTTTTTTTAGATATTTTGCCACTGGTGACTCGTTTTTAGGTCATAGTTTTCGTGTCGGGTTTTCTACTGTTAGTAATATTGTCACAGAGGTCAGTGAGTCTATTATTAAAGTTATGGGACCAATGTTTATGCCTGAACCTACCACGAACATTTGGGAAGAATCTGCAAGAGGTTTTTACGAAAAATGGCAATTCCCCAATTGTATAGGTAGCATTGATGGGAAACATGTCTCTATAAAATCTCCCAATAACAGTGGATCCAGAAATTTTTGTTATCTAAAAAAATGTTCAATTGTTTTAATGGATATAGTCGATCCAGACTATAAATTTATTTGCGTTGACGTTGGTGGATATGGTCGAAATTCAGATGGTGGTATTCTAGAGGAGTCAACAATGGGCAAACGACTAGAAGCTGGTACACTAAATGTACCACAAAATGCACCATTGCATGGCCAAAGGGAAGATACGCCTATGGTTTTAATTGGAGATGAGGCATTTGCTCTAAAATCATATTTAATGAAGCCCTTTCCGCGGAGACTATCAAGAAGTGATACGAGACTGGACAATTATAATTACAGACTATGCCGTAAAAGGCGTGGGATTGAAAATGCTTTCGGCATATTAACAAAGAAATGGAGGGTTTACAAAGGACCAATAGAGGTAAAGGAGGAAACTACAAAAAAATTGTCTTAGCAACATGTATATTGCACAACTATCTTCGCGTGAACAATAGTGATGTAGATATAACTGTAAGCGCGTTAATGAACGGGGTGTCAGGATTTAATAAGTTAACACAACGCTTAAGTAAATTATAAAGATATTACTATATATAGATATTATTATATAGTAATATAATATTTTCATAATATTACCGTTTACTCCATTAATTTCATGACTTATCACAGTGTCCCACAAGTGATCCTTTTTTCTGGTGTTTTTAAATTCTGGCAATGTCATATCATACAGTATCGGATGTTTTTGGACAACCAATATTAGTTTTTCCGTGTGGTCTTTTTTTGAAACAGACGTCATGATTGTGAAATATCACAAGTTGCGTTTATGCAACTGTCGGGCGAAACTAAACAAGAGCAACTAAACACTGTCAACTTCTTGTTTGAAAATTATAATAATAATAAATATATTAAATACAATTATTACACAGAAAAATGTTTTCAAGTTCCAGAAATTGCCAAGTTTGGAATTAATGGCAGGTAGGCATACGATAACTATAAATACTATTAATACTAAGATATAGGATACGTAAATAGTATATTTATAATTCAAAGAATAGATATCACATTTTTAATACTAATTTATTAATTTTAATTTAATGCCAATGATATTAATATTATATAGGCAAATTTATATGCATCATGATTGCTATATTAATTAATCCGTATAATTACTTCCGATAACGTACATATTTTTCATAATAATTTTAAGTTCAAATAATAGACAATTACCATTACTCCCACCCCCATGTCACGCCAGTATCCCAGCTCTGGGCTACCAAAAATACGGCCCGTGTGCCCTTGTAGCCCTGTACTTATATTTTTTGTACAGCTGCCACAACGCGGCGGTGAAATCGGTATTGCAGCAATTTACCGTCACGTTATTTTACCGCCAGATCCACCGCAGGTTTCACCGCGGCGGTGTGTGGACCTAGTACTAAATATATGTGTAGAATTTTACCACCACCGGCAGTGTGTGGGGACCTTAAATAATTTTTCGCTTCGTCAGAAATGTTAACATTTAATTCAAAGTTCCTCATAAGTTGTTATATTATAGATTGTAGAAGTTTAAAAATATTAAAGATACATAGGCACTGTTTTTTATAAGCATTTGAAATTCAAATTTGACATAATCACTTGTCAAGAGAGTCTAACACGCCTATTATAAATTATAAACTTTCGTTATATTATTTTATTCTTTCACAGTATTTTGTGTACTGCCTTGAGATTCAAATACAATATCAATATGCTCAGGTATTTCAATACCTAAATTTATTGATTGCACTGGTTGAAGGGTGCTTGACATTGACTCGGATCTAAAAACATATTACATATTTTAACAATAAATATAATAATTTTATAAAAATGTTGACAAAAGTTTGAAGTTTTAATTAGTATGACCAGAATTTTAGATCAAATACTCCTGAAAATATAATAAAAAGTGTTCATAAGTTGTACTCATCACAATTAAAAAAAGAACAAAAATCGTTATCGTTATTTAACAATTTTTTAATTAGTTAATATTGGAATGAGATTTTCGCCCATGTCACCAACCTCTAGCAAAGGCACTGAATGTATTGAAAAAAATAACTTCCTCTTTTTTATTTTTATTAGTTCTTCTCTTTGAAATAAATATGTTTATGTAAATTATTACGATACCTTAAACGTTACTAAATACGTAAGTACAATGGCAAAATAATCAATAGAAACCAATAACATCACTAACATAATACAAATTACACATTGAATATGACTATAATATACCTAGGAACAGTTTATGTGAATTAACAAACAAAAAAACAAACAAATCATTTTTATTAATTATTAACCAAGATAATATTATAATACTGAAAATATAATATAATAGTATAAGGTATTATTATTTAAAATTAAGTTGAATAGAAAAATCTGTCAATAAAGGCACAGATGCTTTCACTGCTTTCACTGCTTTTGTTTTTTGGTAGAATATTTTTATAGATGCTAGTTTACTATATTATAGGTATTAGGAACTTATATTACATTTCAACAAGTAAGTCAATGGGAGAAGTAGACGTGCATGACCAACTTGTACTTACAGAACTTTTATCAAGTCTCGAAAATGGACACTGAGGTTAATTGCTCATGCGTTTGATATGGCTACTGTAAACAGTTGGTTAAACTGTTAGAGTATAAGAAACATACTTAACACTGTAATATGTTAAATCGAAACACAATGGACCTACTAGCATTCAAAGAGCGTTTAGCAAACACTCTAATTTCATTAGGAAGAACAAAATCATTAATAACTCCTCCAAAGAAAAGAGGCCGACCTAGTACAACACCATCTCCAACTCCTGAACCTGAAGTACAACCAGTTAGAACCAAACCAAGATCTGTAGATTCAACTCCATATGAAGAAACCATAAAAGATGGATTAGATCATATGCCTACTTTTGACTACAAACTAAATAGTAGTAGATGTAAAAATAGACCATGCAAATTCAAGGCAAATGTTTATTTTGACAAATGTAATATACATTTATGTTTTGTTTACGTCATAAATATAGTGTTCGCGCCACGCGAAGTATCTATTCTATAATATTTCTTATTATATTTCTTAATGGTATTATATTTATGTAAAACTGACATCATACTGGGCAGTCAGCCAACTAGTTGTTTGCATAATATGATGAGATTCGGAATACAGTCGGTCGGCACTATCGTGAGTCGATCGTCACGAATAAAGTGCTGCACCAAGCATATTTGACGTCGGGAGACGTACGACTGTATCGGCCGAATCTATATATTATGTAAAGCGCGGGTCAGATCGGTTCGGTCACAAGGGACACCGGTTGCAATAATGTACAGTTACATAATTGCTAAAACGAATCTTATTGATGACCCGCGTATAAAGGTAGCCACACACGGTCCGGTCAGCCTGTCAGTTATGCCTGCACAGGCCGCCGGAGACCGGTCGGCCGTTGCGTTTGTGGGTTCCGGTCGCCTGAACAGTTATATCTGTACAGGCCGCCGGACAAAATATGAAAACTCGTTCGTCCATCCGGCCGACTGCGGGACTGCGCAGGCGTATCGAAACGTGTATGGGTTCCGGCCGTCCGGCCGTCCGGCCAAATTACCAGACGGTTTAATTTTATTTCACAGTCCACGTGTTTATACTTTATACTACACTGCATATTGCACTGCTCTGCACTTTTTTGAAGTTTTGTCATTAAAAAAATGTCTCGAGAGAAAGAATCTCAGTGTATTGAAGATTTTATTAATATTTATCGAAGCGAACATTGTTTGTGGAAAATAAAATCTAGAGAATACCATGATAAATGCAAAAGGGACGCTGCCTACAAACTTTTAGTTGAAAAGCTAAAAGAAATTGACTCTTCTGCAACGAAGTCAGTGGTAGTAAAAAAAATAAATAACTTGAGAAGCAGCTACCGGAAAGAGTTAAAAAAAGTAAAGGAATCAACTAGGACAGGATCAGGAGCAGACGATGTCTACCAGCCGAAATTATGGTACTTCAATATGTTAAGTTTTCTTGACGACCAAGACACACCACGTAATTCGCGTTCAAATATTGAAAGTGATGACGAGAATAGTGTCTCTGAAGTAAGTTTAATTGAAATAAAATGAACTAAGTTAAATTCAATATTTACTTGATAGTTGATATTTTTAGATAGATTATATTATTATTTATAAATTGATATTATGTTATTGCCAATTTAAGATTTATTTTGGTAGTGGTGTGGTGCTATCTGCTATCTACATACATCAACAATTTTATCTTCTTTCGCAAATTGTTTATTTATAAAAACAACACACAATTATAAATAATAATATTATAAAAATTATTAATAATTATATAATAATATTGTTAATAATAATGATAATTAAAAAAAATCTCATAATGAGATATTTCTCTTTTTTAATCACAATAAAATTCATTCAGAATTGATTATTATTAATAAATAATAAATATGCTATATTGTATAATATTATATAAAAAAAAATATGTATTTAAATATTAGTAAACAAAGTTAAGTTGCCAGGGAACTTTTCCTTCATTTGAAAAGTAACTCATAAAATCTTCTCTAACGTTTTTAGCAGCATTGTTTGTGTTTCCTTGCGTTCTTCGGTCTAGTCTATCCATGTTTGAATCTTGTGAATCAAGCCCAAAAGTTGTTATTCCATTTTCTATATCATCGTGATCCAAAACTTCTGTAGGTGCATATGTGTTTGGCGCTGACTTCATTAAAAAATTATGCAGTACGCAACAAGCCATAACAATAGAATCAATATTTTTCGGTTCTAAATTAATTTGTGTGTGGAAAATCCTAAACCTTGCTGCCATGATACCAAAAACATTTTCGACAATACGTCTTGCCCGTGATAACCGATAATTGAATACCTTTCTTTCAATAGAAACTAAAGCAGCTTGTCTGAATGGTTTCATTATATTTATCTGCAAAGGAAATGCATCGTCTGCCACAAACACGTATGGTAGCTTTCTAGAAGTATCTTTGACTGTCTCCATGTCTGGAATTTTTAAATCTCCATTTTGAAATTTTTCATAAAATTTCGTGTTGTTTAAAACACCACCATCCGAAATTCTACCGTTCGTTCCGAAATCGCACATTATAAATTGGTAATCTGCATTGACTATTGCCAATAGAACCATACTATGACGGCCTTTATAATTAAAGAACTCCGATCCACTTCCACTTGGAGGAACAATGCTTATGTGCTTTCCGTCCATAGCCCCTAGGCAATGCGGAAAATTCCAATTTTTCTCATAACGTTGAGAAATATTTCTCCATTCTTCTGATGTTCGTGGAAACTATAAATAAAAAAACGGGTAAGCACTAAGTGGATGTCGTTTTTTGGTTACTATAAGTAGTACGTAAAATCATATTTTACTTTTTCAAAATTTAGCTATAAAAGTTAAACATTTCATAAATTATACTATTACATTCGATTTGTATAGGTTTTTTTTTTTAAATATTATTACTATTAAAGTAATTTATTTACTATTAGACATTAGTATCTACTACAGTAGGTTAAAATAAGATCATAATATTTCGTTAAGTAGTAAAGTTGTTATATTTTATGTAGATAAAGGTATTACATTTAAATACAACATATAAAACGTTTTGGAAATAATAAATACATATATTCATAAAATACTAGCGATGCCGATAATTTTAATTAAGTATCAAATTTGCCGACTAAAAATTAAATATTCATAATTGGGGGGTGAGACACCTCCCCCCCAAGCCCCCCTCTAAGAACGGTTCTGATTGTAACAATATATTTGGAGCCTTGTATTAAATATTAATTTCCTAGTTTTTTAACAAATAAAATTTGATTGACATTTATAGAAAAAAAATACATATATTTATATCACATACTATTGAAGTATTATCTATACATATTATTATTTATTTAATAAAAAAACCTTGATACCATTTTAAATAGTCGCATTTTTTTAGGGAGAAACACAATCAGTTACCACTAATTCACCAGACCGTGATACAGAAAACCTAAATGCATCGATTTTCACTATAAGTACACCAGCATCAATATCGCATGAAACTCAACGCATTCGCCAAAGACCACACAGAAATACATCAGATCAATCTGCTCTAACTAACGAAGTTTTGCTTAGTGTAAAAGACCATTTCAAGCAGCCCCAAATAAAAGACGATCGTTTTGATGTATTTGGCAAAAACGTTGCTATGAAGTTGCGTGATTTATCTAATTCCCAGAGAGTTTTGGCCGAAAAACTCATCAATGACATTCTATTTGAAGCTGAAATGAATAATTTAACTATTTCACACAAGTTGGTGCAACAAAACCAACAAAACTATGGACCATATAGTTATGATTCAGCTTCTCCTTCAACAAGTCATTCCACTGGCAGCGATAAAAGTTGTAAAGTATATAATTACCCACAAACACGGATTCAGACGGAGTTCAACAATCAATCGTTTATTCCATTCAATTCAGTGCAACATTCGCCTCAAATTGAAAGTTCACCAGAGAACTCTCTACACACACTTGCATCTTATATTTCCAATTTTACTAACGATAATAATAATAACCATTGAGTTTTAGTTGTAGTTTTCATAATTTAAATTATCTACTATAGGTATTATTATAGTGATAAAAAAGTAATAATTTTTTTTTTCATCATCTATTTTTTTAGTACCAAAAAAGGGATTCAGTTTTTTTTTATTTTTCATGCTTTTTCTATAACTCATTGTTATATTTAAAAATAAAGGATTTAATATATGTTATGTTTGTAAACTGTTAATATTATTTTCATAACGAAAAATGTCCTTACCTTTAAGTAATCTTTATGTAATACTTTGTACATTGCTTCACATGTTTCAGGTATAATATACCCAAGAGCTTGTGGTGATATAATAGTTGAAAATTTAAGGTCTTCGTAACTTCTTCCCGTAGCTAAAAATCTGAGAGTTGCTGTCAACCTTTCGTGTGGGGAGATTGATTTCCTCATAACTGTATCTTTTTTTTTAATGAATGGTGTCACTAATGAAAGAAGTTGGAAGTACGTTTCTTCGTCCATTCGCAAATAATTATGCCAGTCTTTCGGAAACAACTTGAATTCGGTCAACAGATTAATGTGAGAATATTCGTTTCTTTTTTGTAACCAATTTTTACACCACAGTCTACGTTTACGTTTTTTAATTGCATTATTTTTCATGGCTATCAACAACCCTAAAACAGCAAGCGCGTCTTCGTTGGTAGCCATGTCTCTACAATATAAAATAATTAATACAATATAAAACTTGCCGCGGCCGGACAGATTCGCCGGAACGTATGGGGGCGCTGCGTCAGTCCGGCCGACCGGTCTCCGGCGGCCTGTGCAGGCATAACTGACAGGCTGACCGGACCGTGTGTGGCTACCTTTAGTCAAAAAATGAATAAATAAGCACATGACGACAGAACGCTGTGGGCGTGGCTTCGAGAGCAGCAGCGGCCAACCAGCGTTATCGCCGCCATTCAACCACGCCCAATCAAAAACCACAGACATTTCATGAGCGGCTCCTGCAACGACGCGGTGGGCGAGACCAGGGTATAAATGCCAGTGCGGAGCACGAAACGGGCAGTGTGTTCAACGCATAGATTAGTATATTATAATAGATGAGCGACTCAACGTTAAATTGTTGATCTGCCGTAACTGCTCCCTGTGGCCGTACGCATATACTAAAACTGTGTCAGCATCGTACTAGGTATTCGATATTGTACTATCGATAATAATTACTATCGATTATTATTATCGATAGTTTGTTTAGTAATTTATTAAAAGTTTACGAATGAAATAAAAAACAATTAAGTTCAAAATACAAAATTTTTATTTATTGTTATACAATGTATATAGTATTAAATTTAAATCTTTCTTTATAACTTTATTATAGAACTTATTTGGGATTTTGGTCACAGACGTTTCATTAGTAAGTATCGGGCCTACCTTTATATTTTCGTGCTAGCGTTATTCTTTATCATCTGGTGGGTGGCATCCTTCAAAGTAATCCCCACTTGATTGAATAACACGGTTCCATCGATGTTTCCACTTTTCAAAACAGTCCTGGAACTCATTTTTAGGGATAGCCTTAAGTACAATCGTCGCATTGTTTTCAACCGTTGTTTTGTCATCGAATCGGTGTCCTTTGAGTGGTTTTTTGAGTTTTGGAAACAGCCAAAAGTCACAAGGGGCTATGTCGGGACTGTATGGAGGTTGTCGAAGCAATGCGATATTGTGTTTGCTCAAAAACTGCTGCACAAGATTGGATGAATGCGCTGGCGCATTATCGTGATGGAGAAGCCAGTCACCACTTGCCCAAAAGTGCGGGCGTTTTCTTCTCACTGCATCACGCAAACGTTTCAAAATTTGAACGTAGTACTCTTTATTGATTGTCTGACCTGTTGGTGCATATTCGTGATGCACAACACCTTCACAATCGAAAAAAACAATCAACATTGACTTAACATTGCTCCGACTTTGACGTGCTTTTTTTGGTCTTGGCGATTCAGGATGCTTCCACTGTGAAGATTGTTGTTTTGTTTCAGGATCATAACCATAAACCCATGATTCATCACCAGTAATAACCTTTCTAAGCACATTATCATCATTATTGACCATTTCCAGATTGTCCAGAGCGATTTCTAAGCGAATGTTCTTCTGCTCAGCTGTGAGCAATTTTGGGATGAATTTCGCACACACGCGTTTCATTCCTAAATTTTCGGTTAAAATTTCTGAAATGATAGTTTTTGGTATCCCAAGGTCTTCTTCTAGTTCTCGCACAGTCATACGACGATCTTGTTCGATTGCAAGTCGCACCCGCTCAATATTATCTGCGGTTTTTGTCGTCGAAGGTCGGCCGGAACGAGAATCACTATCAACAGAAGTGCGACCATCCTTGAACCGCTTATACCACTCTTTTATTCGTGTTTTGCTCATACACTCACTTCCGAAGGCCTTTTGCATCATTTCAATAGTTTCCGAACTCGTTTTTCCGAGTTGAAAGCAAAATTTGATGCAAATTCGTTGATCTTGTTTTTCAGTCATTTTTGACAATATCAAAATCCGACGAACGTGAAAAAGGCACTGTAAACAAAGACACGCTGCGCATGAACTATACGTTCGGCAGATGTCAGTAAGTAACCGATAGATTCGTGAGGCTTTACTGTTGACGTTTCTGTCCAGCAGAGGTCGCTCGAACACTATGGCGCGAAGATATAAACGTAGGCCCGATACTTTCCGGACAGACCTCGTATGTCTGACCGGATACACTCGTACATTACGCATTGTATATTATTTTATATATTTATTCAAATTTTTATACTAAAATGGACGTGTACTTATCGGAATCAGAATCGGATGACGAAAGCTTACTATTAGTAGCAATGATCGAAGATGAAGAACACGAAAGGTAGGTATATTTACTATAGTCTCAATAAAATATTAATGTAAAAATATTGCATTAATACTTTTTTTTTAGACATCATAAAAGGAAATGCTGGGTTCATAATATAAATAAGGAACGTGACATACTTGGAGAATATACTACTTTAATACCTCAACTAAAAGCAGACCCAACACGATTTTTCATATATTTCAGGATGATTCCAGATTGTTTTGATGAAATCTTAGGTTGGATTTCAGATGAAATATGTAAGATTCCAACAAACTTTCGCATGCCGATTCCTCCTTCAGAACGACTAGCAATTGCACTAAGGTATTATTAAATTAATTTAATACATTAAATTGGTATTTAATACAATTTGTTATACAAATATAGGTAACACAAATACAAATGCTCTAAATCACTTTATTTAATTAATACTAGATGTATATACATTTTATAAAATATAACCCATGTTCATTGTTGATAATAGAAATTGTAATAAAATTACGTTTAAGAAATAAAAAAAACAATACTTGTTTACCATGAATAACGACCAAGATTTGTGTAAGTTTGTGCACAATTTTCAACTGATAAATTAATAGCATCAGTGTTTTGAGTTGGGTAAACCTGCACGTGTTGGTCAGTTGTAGCAGGGTAATCGCGGTCCTCGTGATGGATAACGTGCTGGTTAGTTGAGCGGGAGCCATGGTAATTTTCATTTTCATCATTTTGATCCATTTCTAAATTCCCAATAATATTAGAAATTTGTTGTTTCGCAGTAGCTTGCCTTCTCGGAGAAAATGTTTTCATTGTTTTTGCGTGGCTAAGCATGAGCATTTCAATAGCATCAAGTGCACTAGTGGTGACTTTTTGTTTTTTATTTAAATGCTCAAGAACTTTGTCAATGTTAGACACCGTGTTTTCTTTTTGTCTTTCTCTACGCACACTTTTATTTTGAGTTGAAGAAGCAGGAGGATTGATTGGAGGTAAAGTCTCTGAAAAGCTACCATCCAACTGTTCTTCGTTGCGACTGCATTCGGTTTCATTGAGCACGTCTTCCACTACTTGTTCTCGAACATTTGACATTGTACTTTAATAATAATAAATTAAACAGTTAATTTATCGTGGGGAAAAATGTAAAATAACCTAAACCATTTTTTAGAACATTAATTTTTTGTGACGTCAGTTATCACGTACATTATAATTGTATTCTATGCCAATACTATTTTATTGTTCAAAATTATTCAAATTATTTTACAAAAACACTTACACAGTAGTGTAATATTTAAATATTAAAGTAATTTTAAATATAAAAAACAAAAAATACCTACTTATTTAAAAAAAAAAACGAAAATTGTACGCTCAGCAGATCACCATTAAGTTTAAGAACTAGAGTGAATTGACCTCTTATAAAATTTAAAGCTAGAGGTGACAAATTACGAAAATACGAAAATACGAACGTCGAACATATTATGAATTTATGAGAATTGATCGGTCAATAACGAATATTCAATTTTATATGTACATATTAATGCACGTACAATATAATAATATATACATTGTTATGTTATTTATTATTTAAAATAAAAATAATATATATTTATAATATAAATGAATGGATTTGCCATTCCTGATTTAGGCTATATCATTGGCTTTTTATTATATTCTAATTTTAAAGGAACTTATATATGAGTATTTTAAGATGTAGGTACAATTTATATAAGTATTTGCTTTGGGGATTTTTTTCCCGATTACCGTATACATATTTTGTTTATATAGATTGGACTACATGTGCTTTACAAGTATTCAGTCTTAATAGTACTTTAATAAAAAAAAAAATAAATAAGAATAAATACTTACGTAGCGAAACTTAAATGTGGTCTTAAAAACTCCAAAGACTTCGCCCAATTATATTTTTTATATTGGTCCAAATGTCTTCCCTTTGATGCGCCTTCAGCTTGTCCACTTGTAGTTGCATAGCTCTTAAATATTTTTGATACGAACACCCTCAAATTTTTCCACTTTATTTTTAATGTCTCTCCTATCATTACCATAATAATTAATTAAAAGGTTATGTAATAACTATTAGAATTATACGCACATTTCAAAAAAAGGTCACTGTAAATTGTAATGGATGGTGTTAACTTTGAATTCAATGATATAATATATATGATATATATAACTTTGTATACAAAAAACTATTAGATTACAACAAAATAACGTTTAAACATCTAATTAAAATAATATACTTTAGAAGTAAAATCACTGTTCATCCATAACTTTTTATTGGTTTTTTCCGACGCTTTTTAAAATATAATTTATTTTAGTTATTTTCTTATGCAAACGTTATATGGGTGCTAATAACAAGTATTCGCATATATTAAATTGTACTAAATGTATTAAATTAATACATCAACATTTTTTTTCTTTCTCTATTTTTAATTGTACCTACCTATACATTTAATTTTTAATATTTTATTCTGATAAATATGTATGATTAGTTAATAAAAAAAAAACTATAGTAGGTACCTATACGAAATAAACACATTAAACTTTATTCTCAGCTCATTGCTTCATTGATAGTTAGCTAAGCCGTCAGTTAAAAAAAATTAAAAAGGATTTGAAGGAAGTTATTTGAAGAGCCAAAAAATATTGAACATTTTTTAATTTAATTTAAAAAAAAAATCAAAGTAGGCATATTCAATAAATTAAAAGGGAAAATAAAATAGTGTTATACAAAATGAATAAATTAAATAATAAAATGTTTTTGAACACATTAAGTTAAAAATCAACTATTAATTATAATACATATATATAGATATTACATATAATATATATTATACATATCTACTAATATTATTGATACATTTCAGGTTTTTTGCAACTGGCGATTCTTATTCAACTATAGGCCACAGTTTTCGTGTTGGTTTCTCTACTGTGAGTAAAATAGTTGTGGAAGTTAGTGAAGCTATTATCAAAATAATGGGTCCAATGTTTTTACCAGAACCTACAACGGCTATTTGGAAAGAATCATCGAGTGGTTTTTATGAAAAATGGCAATTTCCTAACTGCATAGGTAGTATTGACGGGAAACACGTAACTATTAAATGCCCTGACAACAGGGGATCAAAAGTTTTCGCTTGTATTAATGGCAATAGTTGATCCAGATTATAAATTTATTTGTGTCGATGTTGGTGGTTATGGCCGAAATTCAGACGGTGGAATTTTAGAAGAATCGGCAATGGGTAAACGTTTGGAAGCTGGGACATTAAATGTGCCAAAAGGTGTACCATTACCTGGGCAAATAGAAGACACACCCATGGTTCTGATTGGTGATGAAGCGTTTGCATTAAAAACATATTTAATGAAACCATTTCCACGTAGGCAATCCAGAAACAATACGAGATTGGACATTTACAATTACTGATTATGTAGAGCTAGGCGAGTTGTCGAAAACGCATTTGGCATTTTATCAAAAAAATGGAGATTTTACAAAGGGCCTATAGAACTAAAAGAAGACACAACTATTAAAGTTATATTAGCAACTTGTATATTGCACAATTATTTATGTGTAAAAAATTGTGACATAAGAGATGTAGAGTTGGATGATGATCAGTCAATAATTGGAGCCTTAGAGGAAAGCGAAGCTAACAATCGAAGAGCAACAAATGAGGCAAATCGAATACGTGAACAATTTGTAAATTTTTTTGACTAATTAATAATGCTGAATTGTTACAACTTATATAGTAAAATTTTCTTATTATTATTTGATTTGTTGATTTGACTATTTTTACTTGAATTAGTTATTATATTTAGTATTATTTTGTTGGTTGGTAATTAATAGTTACAATATTTACAGCATTTTAATATAAACAAAAATTAAATGTTCACTATAATTTATTTATTTATTAAAATAAACTAATATTAATAATTACCTTTTTCTCCGTTCATTTCTTTACTTATAACATTATCCCAGATATAATCTTTTTGTCTTGTATCCTTAAACTCTTGTAAGGTCATGTCGTACATTATCGGATAATTTTTTACAACTAATATAAATTTTTCGGTATTATCTTTGTTTGAGAGAAACATGTTAATAATTTGAAAAAGCTGTAATATTTAGGTATTTACCAATTAAATGTAAGTGACGAGTAGCCACAGTCACAGCACAAATGTAATTGATCACAAATCACAGTACAATGTTTAGTAAAATTACACATATTCAAAAATAACATTTATTGAAAATAGATATTTCGATGTAATAGGTAACTGGTGTTCTTAGAATAGATACCTAGTCTAGACGGTCTAGACGGAATTTTAATTAATTTTAATATTTCCTATTAATATTTTTACCTTAATACATTTACAAATAAAGTACCTACGTGTTTGGAATCGTGTACACAAATTACCTACACAGTACACACATACACGTCATGTATATTAATTATCTTAAAATATGGTGGTACTGACAAAATATTTAATTATACCTTTTTAGCAGACAATTTCGAAAAATCACATCTATATCGACATCAATTTCTTGAGATATTGCAAAAGTTATCTTATAGAATCACAGTAGGTAAAAATATTTATGTTTAAAATTTAACATGCAATTATATTTTACTAATAAATTTATACTCTAATATAATATATCATATCATATATTATAAAAAAATAAAATACAATTTTAGTATAATATATGATTGAAATAAATATAAAATATAAAATACCGCCGGCGGTGGCGGTAAAATTCGGGCATGCGGCGGTTTTTGAAATTACCGCGGCACGATATTTTACCGCGGCCGTTTTACCGCTGCAGTGTGTGGACTCTCATAAGAACGCAAGTGTTTTATTTTACTGCAACCGCCACCGCTGCAGTGTGTGCGGACCTTAAAGCTATGGTTTCCTAGAAAAGCGGTGCCGTTATCTAGCGGCCGTCATTTTACGGTTGTTAATAACGGCCGTCTTTACGGTGACCAAGCTGTGGTTTCCTAGAAAGTAGTGCAACCGTATTCAATCGTAGTCACTCAGTACACACTCGAGCGTACACACTAGGTCGTGAACTGATGAAAAATGGACGATTTGGACATAGCATTATTAGTATATTTGGATGATGAAGAGTCATCAGAAGACGAAAAAAATCGTTTGGAGGGGAGTATCATGTTCAAAAATCGTGATACTGAGGGTGCATTTCAAATTTTAGTGCGTCGCCGTCTGCAGTGTAATGACGAAAAGTTTAGGCAATACTTTCGCTTAACACCAGTGTTATTTGACTATGTATTGAATCACATAAGAGATGACTTAACTTATAAACCATACAATAGACACAAAAAACCAATATGCCCAGAAGAAAAGTTGTGTATACTTGTGAGGTAAGTACACTGATCATGTTTTATTATAAATTATACCTATAAATCTGTCTATAATGATAGTAATACTGGTATACTGGCCAATATAATATAAAATGTTTAATAAAGTATAATAAATCAAAATATTTATATTATAATATATCGTTATAAATTATAAAAACCACAAGAAATGTTTTATTTATATAAATAACAAGCGAAGTAACTTAATTAATTTTTAAAAGTATGTTATTGTAAGTTTTAATGATTAGTCAGTCTATCCTTTCAACTTAAAACTATAAAACTTTTGCATAAAATATTTTACATTTTTAAAAACAAAATATAAATTTAAAATTAAAATTTTTCCTTTTCATGTTTTTGTTATTTTAATAATATGTATTAAATAACAAAATAAACTTTAACAAAACATGATAAACATAATGCAAAACAACATAATATTATATGAAAACAATTTCATATGTGAAAAAAAAATTGTCTATATATGTTTATGAACGTCATGTTCAACATAATGACATATAATATGCACTGTTAATTACAGATGATAAAAAAAATTGTCATTTTCTGTTAGGCTGAGAACACTTTCTGAAACACTTCTTCCATCTCTTTGTAATGACTCGTCATATATTTGTTCTTGATAATTTGACGTTCCACTTGTTGCTGGAGATGGCACCGTTTCTGAGTGTGTGAAGCTCATTGTTGAACTTGGCCTTGTTGATGAACCTGTCTGTCTTGAATCGCTTAAAATACTTTTTAATTCAGCATTACCGACCAATTGCGAAATTTGCATCCTTAATTGCACTTGTTCATACCGAGGAAGCTTCTTTACAATTTTTGCAATGGAGTTAAAGAAAAGGTCGGTTTCGTCCAATTCATTTTGAGCAGGAGTTGAATTTCGTTCAGCTATTTGTTTCAGTAGCTTTAATCGTTCTTCAAAGTGTGTTAATTTTATCTTTTTCTTATCTTTCATAAAGTTGTCTTTCTTAAAATCCATTTTTTTATTACTATCTTCGTTGCTATTAATGATTGTCGTATTTTCTTCTGTTTCATCAATCTGGGTGATGTTTTCTTCGAGGTCAGCATGAGAGTTTTTCACAAATTCACTCTCGTCAAATCTAACGTCATCTCCAACAACATTAGTAATTGTGTTATGTCTTTGTGATGAAGGAAGGCTATCTAAGAAGGATAGGAGAACAGACCTATTCTTTGCTGCTTCTCCACCTGAACCAGTGCCAGGTTTACCTTTACGCCGAATATAATAATCCCTTACGTAGGCCCATCTTTTACAGCAGTCAGAACCTAAAACACAAATTGTAATTTAATTTCTTATTTCAGACATTTGGACACAGGAGAATCTTTTCGGTCACTTGCTTTTCAATATCGAGTTAGTCATTCTTGGATAAGTGTCATAATAAAAGAAGTTGCTGAGGCTATTATTAAAAGGATGTTTGAGTTAACTATACCGTCGCCTACAGAAAATCAACTAAGACAAAACAGTAGTCAATTTTTTTCAAAATGGAATTTCCCGAACTGTGTAGGGGCGATAGATGGGAAACATATAAGAATAAAGGCTCCCAAACGAAGTGGATCATTATATTAACTATAAAGAGTACTATTCAATCGTTTTGCTAGCAGTCGTTGACGCGGATTGTAAATTCACTGCTGTTGATATTGGTTCCTATGGTAGAGAGGGAGATGCTAGTATCTACCTAAAGAGTCAAATAGGGAAAATGATAAAAAATAATGCATTCAATATACCAGCACCACAAGTATTACCCGGAACAAATAATGTTGTACCCCATGTCATTGTAGGGGATGAAGCTTTTGCATTGCACGAAAACCTGATGAAACCTTATCCAAGACAGCAATCTGTACATGATCAATCAAAAGCTGTATATAATTATCGACTATCGAGAGCTCGGAGAAAAACTGAAAATACTTTCGGAATTTTATGTGGTTATTTCAGACTCTTTTTCCTACCTATTGCTACTGCCCCAGAAACAACAGACAAATTGATTACATGTGCATGCATATTATATAATATTTTACGGGGAGCAAAAGTTCTTGCTCCAGGTCAAAAAAATTTTGATGATGCACTCCCACTACCAACTGAAAATTTAATCCCCATAACAGAACACAATGTGCGTGCCAAAATGAATTACACTCAAATACGAGAAATATTCAAAAATTATTTCAACGGTCCAGGGGCTGTTGAGTGGCAGCATAGTTATGCAATGCAACATTAATTGTGATTATTATATAATATATTTACTGTGGTAATTACTTTTACTTAAAGCATCTGTTGTAGTATATTAATAATTAATATATTCATTATTCTTATATTAAAATGTATTGTATTAATTATTGCATATTTTGTTTACTGTACAATAATCTAAAATAAATTTTTCTCTCCAAATTGGATTTGAGTGACACGTATTAAAATAGTATCTGTGACAATACGTACACGACAACATATTACTATTCTAAATTTTATTAAAAATTATGTTGAATAAATTAAATTTAAGCTTGAAAAAAAAGTGTTTTGTATTAAAGTTTTTAATATTTATTGAGTTTTTTGACTTTACTGAATTTTAGTACTATACACACCTGATTTTTGAAGTGTTATTCCAATTTCGTTCCACAAATTTTGCTTCATCTGGGCTTGTCTATACTCTTTCGATTTTATATTGTACAAAGCTTCATGATTTTTGACAAAATCAATTAATTGTTCGTCATTTTTTCTCGTCCAAGTCACGTTTCCACTCATTTTATTAATTAAATATGCACACCGCTACACGCGAAAAAACGTTAAACTACTGTTTATCACCGCTATGACGGACGTCATGCAACTGACGGCACCGCTAGTTGACGTTACGGTGACACTCAACGTTCTCTAGGAAACCTACTCCGATGTTATTTATAGACAACGTATGGGTGACGTCAGTTACCGCTACATTACGGCCGCTAGATAACAGCACCGCTTTTCTAGGAAACCATAGCTTAAGGCCGCGCGTACATTGGAGAGCGTTGAGCGTCGAGCGTCGAGCGTCGAGCGTCAAGCGTCGAGCGTCAAGCGTCGAAGGTGCGCAAAGTGCACAATACTATCGAGCGGTGTTGTTCATTTGATATCTAGAACATGAAAATTTTTATATACTCATCATTTCAGTATGCACCATGTCGTTCATTACGGTAGATCGTCTTTTGGTTCTTTTAGACAATCCAATTTTACGTAAAAAATTGTTGGAAAAGAAAAGTGTTGGAGTTCATCCCATTAATCGTCGCAGGAAAATATACGGAGAGTTCCATCATTTATTTTTTGAATATCTTCGTATGTCAATTGAGACTTACGATTTTATTTTAACTAAAATTTGTCATCGTATTAGGAAAAAAACTACGAATTTCAAAAAACCAATATCGCCGGCAGAAAGACTTTACGTTACTATAAGGTAAGTACTCGTTAATCGTTATGATAATAAATTAAAGAAAATTACAATAATATTACAATAACAATTTCTTTTATTACATGCAAAAGAAAATATACATTTTAAACATACCTATGTTTATTATGAAAAATAAATTAGGAGGAAAAATGAATTACATACTTATATTTTTTATATAAATTACAAATTTAATAAAAACATAATTTAAAAATAATATTGATTGCCTACTTAATTTAAACATAACTATTTTTTAATTTTTTTACTGTTTTAATGAATAGTAATTTTACATTTAAAAATTATGGAAATTAAAATAAAAACATAATTAAGTGTCAATACGGGTCTAGATTAAAAAGATCATGGCTGTATTGTGTATTTGTGCCCAACGAAATGTCACTACGCTGTGTTCCTGTGAATGTACTTTGGGGAATGGTTTTTGTAGAACCGTGATTGGACTGAGGTATTGAGCTGTATAGTGAAAAAAAGTTGGTAGGTTCACTAATGGACGGAGCTGCAGACGTAATAGACAAATCTTCATTGTAGGGCCTATAAATTTGTGTTACCTGAGATTCATTTGAGGGACCAATCTGGGTTTGAATAAACTCTTTTCGTGAATTCTGCAGATCAGTTTCATGTAATTGTTGCACTAATGGAGTATATCCCTGACTTTTTTTTCTATACGCATTTAATACAACACTTTGGATTTGACTTCTTACTTCAAGTTTTTCCAGTGAACTTAATTGTTGTATGTATGGTAAAAAACTTAGAAGAAATTGAGCATCTGGGTCATCATATATTTTCTTTTCTCTTTCTTGTGCGTTTTGGAGGATAGCAATTTTTTTTTCTTCGAGATCCAATAGTTTTTGAGTACTATCGTCTACAAAACGTTTTTTCTTATTTCCTTTTGTAGATTTGGGAAATGTGGACTGGGAAAACGTAGTCGATGTAGATGGGGATAAATCTTCAACAAATGAACTACTCATAACATCAATGTCGCTCTCATTATCTGTAACTTGGGTATTTTGTAACTGCTCTCCAACTATTAAATTCCCAGACATAACACTTGGAATTAACGAGTCCTTCACAAACATCATCATATTAAAAAATGGCCATTTTGATTTATATTCCCCACCAGCATCACCTGAACGGCCTTTGGGTTCTTTTTGAAGTTCTCTCCTAAATTTATCTTTTAAATTTTTGCACTTACTTTTTGCATCGTTACCTTAAATATGAGTATTTAATAATATATTTAGTGATTATTTAAATAACCAATCCATTTAAAATTGTATATTCTGAGCGAAGCGATGAATCTATTGATAACGGAAAGTCAAATTAAATGTTTTATACAATTTTTACAACATTGGATATTCTCTCGATTTTTCATATTGCGATCTTGGCAATTAAAAAACAAAAAACCTACTATATATGTTACGGGCAATGTGGAATACTGGGCAATGTGTACATTGCCCGGTCAATGTGGTCCTGCCCGGGCAATGTGAACCACGATGTTTTGTTTTACCAACTAACATTATTTTTATTTTTTTATTTAATTTTATTATAACCCATTTATAATTATAATAATAATAATAATAATAATAATAATAATAATAAGTTATTTTTTATTTTATTTTAAATTAAACATGAAATACATTTAGCTATTGTGCACGGTGGTGGAAATCGCATGACATACGAAATAAATAAAAAAATTAAAAATATAACTAGGGAAACAATAACATCATATTAAAATTTTTTATGTAATTCCAAGTGCAATGCTTCTAAATCTTGTGCAAATAAATAGGTAATAATAAATGTATAATTTATTTATTTAAAAATATTCGTAATATTAATATGGTATATGAATATAATTAATTTCAAAATTTCATAGTTTATAATTTTATTGTTTTAAATAACTCGTTATATGATAAGATTTAATAAAATTAATAATGATTGTTTAAAAAAATAAAAAATAACTTATTATTATTATTATTATTATTATTATTATTATAAATGGGTAATAATAAAATTAAATAAAAAAATAAAAATAATGTTAGTTGGTAAAACAAAACATCGTGGTTCACATTGCACGGGCAGGACCACATTGACCGGGCAATGTACACATTGCCCGGTATTCCACATTGCCCGTAACATCTAAGATACTTAAAATTTACACCATATATTTATTTTAGTAATTCCTATACTTCATTAAATTTTCAAAATATTTTGATTAGTCTTGAGTCGTTTACGAACAGTTTTTTCTCTAGGTTCGAATTTTGACAAATTTATCAAATTTAAAATTTAAAAATGATTTTGTAGTTAAAAATGTATATAATTAACTTTCATAGGTAAAGATGGAAAATCTAATACAAGGTTCCACGTAAGTAGGTTATTCTATAACCAAAAAATATAAAAACACAGTTTTTCTTATAGTTATTTTATGTTCAAATTTTGACGAAATCAGATATTAAACAAAAAAGAACGATTTAAGTTTTATTTTTAAAAAATGATAGTTAAAAAATAGTTATAATTCAACTTCATCAGCTATCGTCTTAATAATAACAATGTAAATATAATATAAAATAGCATATAGACTCACAGATCGTCTCCGCTCAGAATCGTTTTTTGTAAACAAAGATATTCTATTACTGAATTAGAATTTAACACCAAGCATTACAGTCACTCACATGTAACCAACTTTATAGCAGAACGACACCGACCTACCAACTTTTTTTTATTTTTTTGTTAATAGATACTTATCAACTGGACTTTCATTTCGAAACTTGGCTTTTTCTATGCGAATGGGTGATCGTACAATAGCGAAAATTGTCCACGAAACTTGTTTAGCTATTTGGGAGGAACTTGTTAGTGATTTTATGCCAGTTCCCACACAAGAAAAATTAGCGAGCGTAGCTATGGATTATTATAATCGTTGGGGATTTCCAAATTGCATTGGGTCCCTGGATGGAAAACATTGTCAAGTTAAATGTCCTAATAATTCTGGATCCAGTCATTTCAACTACCTTAAATATTTTTCATTAGTATTACAAGGAGTTGCTGATGCAGATAAAAAGTTTTTAACAATTGAAGTAGGAGCTAAAGGAAAACAGAGTGATGGTGGAACTTTTGCATCTTCTACACTATTTAATTTGATAGACAAGTTGTCATGAGAAAATTATTTGCAGTCACGACACCATTATCAAATTACCTTCAATCACCCAGTTTGGATTATGTGGAAGCCCTATGTTTGGTTGATAGTGTTCAGAATAGACTCAAGGTTCTAAGATCAGAAGAACAGTTTTCATTACTAATCGATGAATCAAAATCATTTGCTAGTGCTAATTACTTGGTTGTAACTGGTTTAAAAGAAATTCGAATTCGAAGAATTAAGAAAATGCCAGGGGAATTATGTCAAGATGAGTCTAATGTAGATATTCTAACTAAATTTAAAACAGAATTCTTTTATTATTCATTGGATATAGTCAATGAAACATTGGAAAATAGATTTCGTTCGTCTCGAGGTATTTTAACTGACCTAAGTTTGTTAACTGAAGAACGAATATTGTTCACAAAAAAAAATAATGAATATGCACTGTCTAAAAATGAATTCAGTGAATTGGCTAAATGGTTACCACAAATACATTTAGAAAATCTTCAAACTGAATACAAAGTTTTTGCTGAAAGTTATCAGGCATTGGAGAACACAAGTTCTAATCAAAATATATTTCAATCACTTAATAAGGAAGATGCTGTTGATCCTGAAGATGATGAAAACTATGATGAAAATACATGTAGTACATCCGAAAAAGAGCACAACCCTATTAAAGAATTTTCATCATCTATGCTACATCTGCTTAGTTCTCATGGATTGATGGCTTCTTTTCCAAACATGTATCTAGCGTACAAAGGATTATGTACAATACCAGCATCTTCAGCATCTGCTGAACGTACATTTTCTAAGGTATGACAGTAAATTGTATTAATATTTAATTATTAGTTGTTTACTTGTTTACTTGTTTAGTTATAGAAAGTAAAAACAGGAATATGTTAAATTTATTATTACTGATTTTTTTTGTTTTCAGTTGAAAATAATAAAAAATAGATTAAGAACTACTACTCAACAAGACCGTTTGGAATCGTTGATACTATTATCTTCAGAAAAAGATATAGAAATTGATCTTGAAAAGGCAACTGATCTACTAGCAAGATCATCCGATATTTTATCAAAGCAGTTGTTACCGTCTTAAATTTCATTCATCAATAATACATTTTAACCATTGACTTAGTTACTTATGTTATACTTAAAAATAATCTCTATTCTGAAAGTTACATATTGAAATTGTTCAAATAACCATGACTCATTGATACAACTTGATAACTAAAATAATGTGTAAATACTAAAAAAATAAATAATCAATTAATAATTATATTTTTTTTGTGTTGGTGGGGGGGGGGGTCTAATCATATGTATTTGCCCGCAGTTTATATATCACTCACCACGCCACTGTAGACAACAATAGGTTTAACGTACCTCCAGAAAAAAATTTACCTGGTACAAATATAAAAGTTCCTCACGTTTTAATTGGTGACGAAGCTTACCCATTGAAAACATACTTGATGCGACCTTTTCCATCTCGAGGTTTAAATCCGGCTAGAGAAAATTTCAATGATCATTTATCAAGAGCGCGTAAATGCATAGAATGTACTTTTGGAATACTACGGGCAAAATGGAGACTTCTTGGAAAGGATATAGAAGTCAGTTCTCAAAAAGCTATTGTAATAATAAAATGTATGTGCATATTACACAACGTCATCAGGGAAAAAGATGGAGATAGTGATTTGGACTACTGTAATATTATGTTGGGTTCACAAACCGTTTGGGAAGATGAAATCACAGATCGACGAGCAAGAGGCGCAAATACTTTACAACAGGCAAAAGAAATAAGAAATACATTTATGAACTATTTTTTAAATACTTAATAATAATATTATACAATTATTATAGTAGAATAAATTATAATATAATACAATTTTTCAATATTTTATTTATTATAACTAATTAACATGTGTTTATAATTTAATAATATTTAAATAATAATAATAAAATAATCAATATGGTACCTAATGCTATATATTCACAAATTTCGAAATCTCCGAAGCAAAATCATTTTTCTGATATCAAAACTATATTACTTCCCAGATAGCAAAAATTTTATGATAATAATACTAAATTATTATTAATTCATTACATTTAAAATAATATAATTTTAATAATATAGTACTATTTTATTAATGTTACATTGCTTATATTATTTGAGTAATGAGAAAAAAATCATATTATATTGTAATGGGATTACGCAATTCGTGTACAACGCTCACAATAACAAGTACTACTTATGTAGAAAGCGGCCTCGTCGACCACACCCAAAAGTGGTCATAGCTAGAATAAACGCTTCGTACAACAACAACTTCCAAGGGCGCCTACATGCTACGCGCCGCTCAATTCAAAGGGCGTCGCCTTCGTATATTCGTATATATAGAGGCTAGGGCCTCAATACAAATTAGATGTATCCAGAGACGAGAACAACACACGACTCGCTTAGCCGCCCAGCCATCACACACGACTTACACGGAGATTATCAACTTCGGAACGAGCTACAAATTCGCTACAATCAACACTATTATTCTGCTTGTTTTGCCTGGTTTAATATATTACATTTGATTATCATACTCATTTGACTATTATTATTTATCAAGTACACCAGCTTTTGGATCCCTGAAGGGCCGCATGTAACACTGGCGCAGTCGAACGTAGGATTCCACAAAGGGAGGCAACCATCAAAGGCTACTGTCAACAACGAAGAATTGATCACTCTTCAGCGAAGACAACTCCAGGAGGAACCAACAAAAAACAAATAAGTCTCATTGCAGTACCAACAAATCCATTAGCAGCATCATCAACGGCAACATGTCATCATCAGCCATGAACGCAGCATTATTGTGAGTGAATAGTTATTTAAATTTGTTACATAGACGTATGCAACATAATTAAGACATATTAAGATAAATCTAGGTAGTTGATTATAAGTGTAATGGTGTAAACCGTTTTAAATTTTATTGAGGGCATATTTTATTGATTATTATTGAAGTTTATTGAATTATTGAGGGCATATTGATTATTTGAAGTTTTATTATTGAGGGCATGTTTTTATTGAAGTTATTATTGATTATTATTTATTGAGGGCATTTTTATTATTGAAGTATTATTGAAGTTTATTGATTTTATTAGAGGGCATATTATTGAAGTTATTATTGTATTTATAGGGCATTATTGAATTTTATTGAGTATTATTATGATTATTAACGTATTAAATAGGCGGTTAAGTTAATTTATGGACAAAGAAGATACATCTCCCTTGAACGTAGCTAATTCATTGTATGACACTAGTGTAGTAGAAGAAGCCCAGTTAGAAGCCCAGTTATTAGCCCAGAGAGAAGCCCAAGCCCAGTTTGAAGCCCAACAGAAAGCCCAGTTAAATATTATAGTAGAAACCCAGTTAGGAGATAGCACAAGTAAAACCCCAAGTCCACAATTAGGAGTAGTCACACGTAGCAAAGTCACAGAAAGTTTTGAACATCAGTCGTTAGATTTTATATCTAAATCACGCAATAAAAAATGGCAGTAACCATAAAATTAGAAGACGCTTTTAAATTAATTCCAGTATGCACAGGGATAGACGATATTTACCAATTCATAAACGCATGTGATATGGCAGTAGGTTTAGTTGACGCAACTAGCGCACCAATATTAGTAAAATATATCACTACGCGATTAACGGGTAGAGCACTAGAAATGATTAAATATAAAAACGTAACAAAATGGCAATTTATAAAAGCATATTTAACAGACGCATTCGAAGTAACAACCAATGCATCGTCGTTACAACTTCAATTAAATTCGATTAGAATGAATCACAATGAGGACGTAAACGATTATTGCCACAGAGTAGAAAAACTATATTATCAATTATGTACCGTAAGCACGTTAAACAAAGAGGCTGCAGAAGCAAAAATTATACATGAAACATTAAGGGACCAAACTCTAGCAATATTTATTAAAGGATTAGTAGAACCGATTAGAACGATAGTAAAATCTCGTAATGCTAAAACTCTTGAAATCGCGAAACAAATCGCTATGTCAGAACAGGTAGAATTAAGATTAGAACAGGAAAATAGGAATCATTATTCGAGTGGTTATACGCAAAACAATAATCAACGTAGATCGAATTATGAAAATAGGAACAACAGGAACGTAAGACCAAATAACTTTGTAAGGCCGAATAATTTTGCGCAAAATAATTATCCACGAGCAAACAACTTCTCTCAACCAATTAATAGACCACCAATAAAATGTTATAACTGCAATGGAAATCATTTTGCATCACAATGTAGAAATAATTCGAGACCTAACTACGCGAGCAACGGAAATAACAACCGTCCACCTAATAGAAATAATTTTACGCAACCACCGACAAATTATAATGCACAACCAGTTACGTGTTCATATTGCAAAAAAATCGGTCATAATGTAGATTCATGTTACAAAAAGAGAAACGACGAAAGTAGAAATAATTCGGGAAACGCCAACGTGTCGAACGAGGTACGCGGTACTCGCACGATAAACCAGATTATCGCGGAACAGCCGACGAACGAATATTTCACATATTCGCAAAACTAGAAAATAATCATATAACATTCAATTCTAATGCCGCAAAAACAAATCAATTACATTTAATGATAGATACAGGTAGTCAGGTAAATATTCTCAAAATAAATTGCTTACGCGAAGAACTAGAAGTAGACGAAACGCAAAAAATAAATCTACGCGGTATAAATGAATGTCTTACAAAAACCATAGGGAAAATATCAATATTAATTAAATTAAATAGCGAAAACATTAAAACGGAATTTCACATCGTAAGTGCACGATTTCCAATACCCAAGGACGGAATATTAGGAAACGAGTTCTTGTCGAAAAATAACGCAATAGTCGATGTAGCGAACAACAAATTAATTATTCAAACGACCTCGCATACACTAACAAATTTCAAAGAAGCTGACAAAACCAGTTTTATTAAATTAAATCCGCGGACTGAAACTATTGTAGGAATACAGATAGCCGACCCACTTATAGAAAGCAAGGAAATATTTATACATAAACAAGAATTAGTAAAGGACGTATATTGCAGTAGTACAGTGTCTATCGTTAATAATGGTAGGGCATTAGTTAGCATGTTAAATATATCAGAGGAAACGAAAAGCATATCTGAAATCGACCTAAATAAAATACTCTATGATACCGAATACGAAATATATAATGTAGAATCGACGAATGATCACAATGAGCGAATAGCACGTTTGAAACAAATAATAATAACTGACCACATGGATGAAATAGAAAAACAATCTATTTATGAGATATGTGAACGATATAATAGCATATTTCATTTAGAAGGGGATGTTCTAACCTACACCAATGTCGGCACACATTCTATTAAGTTGAAAAAGGATCAACCACCTATTTATCGTAGACCTTATAGATTACCACACGCTCAACAGGACGAAATAAATTCACAAATTCAAAAAATGGAAGAAAATGGAATTATCGAGAAATCGAGAATTCCATGGAATTCCCCACTATTATTAGTACAAAAGAAAATGGACAATTCAGGCAAACAAAAGTTTAGAGTAGTAGTAGACTTTAGGGCACTTAACGAAGCTACTATAAATGAATTTCACCCTTTACCAAATATTACAGAAATACTAGATCAACTAGGAAATAGTCAATTATTCTCTCTATTGGATTTATCGAGTGGTTTTTACCAAATTTTGATGGAAGAAGACTCACGAGAGTTAACAGCCTTTTCGACTAACCAAGGTCACTGGCATTTCAAACGAATGATACAGGGAATGAAAACGAGTCCCGGAACCTTCCAAAGAGTTATGAATTCAGCTCTGGCAGGTTTAATAGGAATAAAATGCTTAGTATACTTAGACGATATAATAGTATATGGGAAAAATTTATATGATCATAACGAAAAATTAATAGAAGTTTTCGAGCGTTTACGAATAAGCAACTTAAAATTACAACCAGATAAATGCAACTTCTTAAAAAGAGAATGTGTATATCTAGGACACGTTATTACGAAAGACGGAATAAAACCCGACGAACGTAAATTAAAAGCAGTAGTAGAATTCCCAATACCAACAACTGTAAAAAACATTAAATCATTTTTAGGATTAAGTGGCTATTATAGAAAATTCATAAATTCATATAGTGCAATAGCAAAACCACTAACCAATTTATTAAAGAAAGACACGAGTTTCGTATGGAGTAACGAATGTCAAAAATCATTCGATACTTTGAAGGCAGCGTTATGCTCAGAACCAGTTCTAAAATATCCGGATTTCACAAAGACCTTCTTGTTAACTACAGACGCGAGTAATAAAGCACTCGGGGCTATTTTATCTCAAGGAGAAATAGGTAAAGATTTGCCAATATGTTATGCATCGCGCACATTAAATAAAAGCGAAAACAACTATTCAACAACCGAACTAGAATGCTTAGCAATAATATTCGGAGTAAAACAGTTTCGACCATATTTATACGGTAGGAAGTTTATAATACTTAGCGATCATCGCCCATTAACGTGGCTCTTTAATTTGAAAAATCCGTTATCAAAGTTAGCTAGATGGAGAATACAATTAGAGGAGTACGATTACGAAATACGTTACAAACCCGGAGTTTTAAATTCAAATGTAGATGCACTCACACGCATGTACTCTATACAGGAAATAAAAAATGAATCATATGAAAAATTTCTCGAAAAATTAGAAACACAAATTATCACAAATAGTAATGTAAAAGAAACTATAGGCACAGTAATAGATTCACCAAAAGAATATAATATAGTGTCAGA